ATAATAACACGGTTTTTTTGTTATGTTTCGTTAAAATCTCAATTTATCAGTGAACGAGTGTTTTGACTGTTGTTTATTCCTAAACTTTTCTTATTAGATTTTGGATTATTTTTTTTTAATTTTAATTTAAAGACCAACCATTTGGAAGTGATGAAGTTAGAAAATTGTTTTGTTGAATCTTTCCAATGACAAATATCCCATCAGCCAATGTGTCATTTTGTTTTTCATCGTTGCCCATTTCTTACAAGTTTTCTTATTTATTATTTAAATATTTATTTATATATTTTAAATTATTATTTTTTTTTATTTATTAATTTTTTTTATTTATTATTTTTATTCAATTACTATTTTTATTTATTTATTCTACTATTTCATACTCTGGTTTTCATAAATTTACTCATTTTTCCATCTTGGAATTTAAAGACCACTAAATTCTTGGCCAGATTTTCAAACCAGGCGTCTTTTTATTTCGTCTTTTTTTCAAATTTAGTAGAAAAATAAAAATAATTTTTTTTATTACTTTCGTGATTGTGCTGTGTGTTTTTCTGGTGATTTTTGCACCATAAAAATTGTCCCTCATTGCGACTTTGATTGATTGGAAGCGAGGATTTCGGATGTTTGGTCATGGTCTGAGGAGCTGTGAATTTTGTATGTAGTCGGAGGTACTGGGCAGGTTCCTGACGTAATTGACTTAAATATCAACATTTCTTTTAAAATATCATGTTGGTTACATAACTTACGATCGATGTTAGTTTCTTTTTCATAGAAAAATGAACAACCTTGCTCTTTTGTCTTTTTCCATGAAAACATTCCAATAACATCTTACGCATTCCAGTTCAATTTTCATTTCAAATGTTTCCCCTTTCGACTAACATCTAGGTTACAATGAATGACATACAGGCAAATTGCATTCAAAAAATTTGGATTTACTTCTACATACGCTCATTTTAAACATTATTTTCACTTCTAGAGATTTATTTTGTTCCTTGCATTACCATCGTTATTATGTTTTGCTCACTTTATCACGTGAAACGTGTTTAAAAATTGTGAGCTGTTTGAAATATGAACCTCTCAGTTATTAATAATTAATAAGTTCATGGCTTGGATGTTCTTTATAATTTATTTATTTCATTGGCTTATTATTCAGAAGAGTTCTTCACCTTTGCTAATTATCCACCAACAAGTCTGATTTAAATGAGATAAGTCATTTTTTAAGAAGTAGGTTGTTGATATTGAAATGCTTGCGATTTTGGTTACTAAGAAGCGTTTTAATGGATCACAGAGTCAGGCATGAGCTTGTTTTTAACGTTCAGCCACCAGTAAATATTCATTGATACAATCACAGACCGCACTTTAATGAGCCTATTCATTCGCGTGCAAGCATTCCAAACATTTCCCATTCCATATTCTGTTGTAGATATTTTGCGAGTCCATAAATTCAGTCAGACTCTCGTGTGTTATATATTCTGTTGTTTTATTTAATGTTGTTTTATTTATTTTTTTTTAGTTTATTGAGTTCATGTCGTTTTTTAACCATACATCGTAATTGTGTAATACTAAGTTGAAGAAATCCTTGTTGAAACGGACGAATTGTTGAGTTGTTTCCAAATATTGACAAGAGCCAAATTCTGAAAAGAAAGTTCAACTATTTTAATCTCATATTGAAATTTTAAATATCATATAAAAGTTTTTAAAAACAATTTTCCTCTTTTGCAATTCTTGTTTGAATCTATTTTATATTTAGAATTTTGGTTGGTCTGCCGTTGCAAGTTTATGAACTGTAATATGTGAGTTATCATCGTATCATAATATTTTTTCTACATTAGGTATCATGTTTTTGCATGTAGGTGTGTGTGTGTTTGTTTGTGTATATGTGTGTGATTGTGTATGTATGAGATTGCATATGTGTATCTGTGTATGTAATGTACGTATGTTTGTAGAATGCTTATTTAATTTTGCATGTACCTGCTTTATTGGTATAATTACATAAGTTAATTTTAACATTTTTTAAGAGTTTTTTTCTCTTTTTGCTATTTCATAAATATTATTTTATTGTTTATCTTAGTTGAATGAAGTCACGAATTACATTTAGTCATAACTTTTCAGTCAATACAATCTGGGTGAAGTTTCTTCAACAGACGAGTCACATGCCTGGCTTAACATTTATTTTATTTAAACGAATGTTGTCAATTTGTCTCGACGGATTTAATAAATATTTTGGTATGTGACTTGGTCCATCTTACAAATCTACTCATTCCATTGGTGTTTGAATAAAAACGACACACACAAAACGTTTCAATTGAGCTTTTCCTCAAAAATGTAAAAAGCAAATTGAATAATTAAATATTAATCTGCATCACTGAATAATCCGAATAAGGTTTAATAAAGGTGTTATGAAATTTAAGTGCCCTAACATAAAATAATTTATTATTATATTACGGAACATATCTTTAAATTAGTACAGCATCTTATGGGATGACTATGATCACTCGCGAAAAATAAAAACGTGGAGGCAAATCAATCAAATCTCAATTGAATGAAATTATTTTCTAATCATCTGAGCTTAGTACGGGATTTAAGAAATGCAAATAAACTGGAATTCTCATCAAGAAGTCCGACCTCTGTCAAAATGTTCTCAACATTGTTTATGTACGTATGTATAGGCACGCATATTTGCTTCAATGGCAAATAAGCAATTATTCTAACATGAGTTTGATTGCAATTGTTACTCTAAGTTTGTTTTAAATTCATCTTTTGTTCGGACAATCGAATGATTCTTGACAACTTGTTACTATAACGAATCACCACAATAAATTAAATTCATCTTTTGTTCGGACAATCGAATGGTTCTTGACAACTTGTTACTATAACGAATCACCACAGTATCTGAGCGATGAAGTACGAGTAAGTATGAGTAACATTAAAACGAGTAGGTACCTATTACAATTATTAAAAGGCATTTATTACTTGTCGTTTTATTTATCTGGTCTAAAACGGCTGGCGAATATATCATTTCATTCATTAAACCTTTCAATCATAAAGTATTTCCGTCATTTTTTTAGTCTCTTGAAGTTCAATATGAGCTTATTCAATTAAACAACCTGGTTTGTCCTGTGTATATATTAAGCAGGTTGTAATAGACAAAAAATTATTTAAATAAATATGTAGAAAAAAAAGAGGTTTGTTTAGTTGTAACCCGTATTGCACGGTTTTTCGACTTTCTGATGAAAGAACAATGAAGAACTTCATTTTGATAATTTCAAAAATAATAATTGTGGCGAATAGGCGAAGTAGCTAAAACTTCAAAATTTAAATCAACTTCAGACAGAAAAACACTTTTTGGCTTACACGAAAAGTCGATTACGTGAAAACTTGGAATTCCGAAAATCACCAACGCGTATTTGAAGTGCCTCTTTAAAAATTTAATCTCGGAACACATTCGAACGAACCATAAATTGAAAATTCCGTTCGTTTGCTGCGTGACAATGTTGTCTCAATGAACAATTCATGCAGGACGATAAAAAACATTCAATTATTATCAATTGTTAATATCAGGGTTCGAATTGATGGGGGGTTGGGGGGGGGGTTTACCCCCCTATCTCTATAATAAGACCCTCCACCTTTCATTTCATTTTAATGTTGGGGGTCAAAATTTGACCCGCGTACATTCAAAACTTCACCCGCCAATCCTTATGACCCCCCTACTTCTTTTTTCACAATTCGAACACTGGTTAATATTATTAATTATATTACAGATCAACATTATTAACAAATTTGAAATTGATGTTACACTATCTTCTAATAAAATAAATACGAATAATTAAAAAACTTAATGAGCAATTGTCTCGTTCGAAAATGTATGCTTTACAGATATTAAAATAAAATTTAATCACACTGAGCTAAAAGTTAGAAATCATTATAACGTGTTAGAGATAAAAATCATCAAATAATGCATAATTAGAAAATAATAAAAAGTCATTGATCATTGATAAGAACTAGGTTAAAATATTAAAATCTGCAAGCGACGAAGATAAACCACTATTTTGTCATGTAATTACGTTTCGTAACATTCTGTTGAAGAAGAATTTTGAAAATAGAAATCGTAATAAAAATATAATTCAGAAAATATTAAACAAGCTAATTCACCAAAAAAAATTTTTTGCATTTAAAGTCGATCGAAAGTTTTATCTCAGTTTCATGTTTCTCAAATATTTGATTCCAAGTCAACCTGTGGAAAGAAAGATAAATTTCTGTATTACATCGAAAATGTTTCATATGAAACAAAATTTAAATTATAAAACAAAAACTAATAAACCAATTCAAATTAATTTAGCTCGCATCACTAACACTTTTGGCCGTGTAAGATTTTTGAGCTGGCTTATCAACCCTGTCATCTTCTGCCAACGAAGCATCCATCATCGAATCATTTTTCGATTTTCTATTTTTATTTCCGAAAACATTTGATGAGAAAATTCGAAATGACGACGTGCTGCCGAGGTTGGTCAAATTTTCAGACATGTTGGCCGGTAGGGAATGTTGCTTTGCTGTCGTTTTACTTTTAACTGGATTGAACAATTTATCTTTTAACGTAGATGAAAATGAAACGTTGGCGAAGGAATGATCTTCATCTAGCTTCGGAGGGGACTGCTTGTTAGTTTTGAACGATGGCACTTGCAATAAATTACCTGATGAACCTGTTGGTGGTAGACGGAGTTGTTGAGATTGGTCGGCCAGTGCCGCG